CTATCGAACCGATTGGAATTTTTTTAATATAAATTCAAACCACGTCTGAAAAATTTTCTTGAAGCTGCTCTCACGTTTTGGTTTTTTGGCTCCGGTCACATTCTCACGATTTTTATTTCCGAAACTTTAAATCAAAATCTTATTATCATTATTATTATTATTTTCTGTACGAAAAATAATAATGATAATGATAAAAAAAATTAATAAATTCGATCTACATTTAATATACAAAAAAATTCCAATTTCGCACCTTTCTCCCACCCCCCGCCTCCTCCCCTTCCTCCTTCGAGGGTGAGGGAGGAGTATGTTGTTTTCTTTGACGTTCCGACATTTTTTCTTTGACGCCATTTTTTTTTTTTCATTTACATAAAAAAATTTATTCTGATGATTTATTTTATCCGACGTTTCAAAAAAAATATCAAATTTAATCGTAATTCAACCGTAATAACCTCAAATCATTATCATCATCATCATCATTATCATCATCATTATCATCATCATCATTATCATCATCGTTAGCTCTTTGCCAAAAAAATTTTAACCGTTAAAAAATGACGTTTGGCAAATTATTATTACGAAAGACAACCCGATCAAAAACCACGTGTAAACAGTCGTACCGAACGTAAATGACGTCATCATTCCCACCTTTCTCCTTCCCCGACAAAACGGCAACGATTACTCAACTTTTATAATTTTTAAAATTACGTCAATATGGCGGACGTGCGTTTGTTTTGTCGTAAAAAAAAAAAATCTTAACTCACGATCTACAAATGATAATGATAATTATATCTTGATTTGATTTAAATACATTGTGACAGGCGCCACGTTTATTGTCACATTATTATTATTATTACTACTACTTATTGTCGCCGTTAAAAAATCAAATAATCTTGAAAAATTTTCCATTTTGAATTGAATTCCGCACGTAGACGACGACTTTCGCGATAAAATGCCTTGTTTCGTTATGGCACAGAGAGAGAGAGAGAGGGAAAAACTCATAGAGTATAAGTGAATATGACGCATTTTCTAATAAAATAAATAATTTATTAAATATCATAATATTATGATTATTATGATTAATAATAATAATAATAAAGGAAGGGAATAAAAATAAGTAAATAAAAAAGATTTGTGTTTGTGTGTGTGTGTATAAGCGCATTGGCAAAATGGGGGGGAATAAAATTAGTTATATGAATAATTCATTGAGTTTTTAAGTGGGGGCGCAAAACAATGAAAGTAACTAAGCACACTCAAAATTCTGACAGAAGAACAATGAATTTTTGACAGCAGCATCAGGAGCACAAGTGAGAAATCTCAGTTTGTCGAGAAAAACTTTGTCTTTTATTATTTTTCATTATATAACAATATTATTTTCTTCCGTCGGGCTTTGAGTTGATAAATAACGATTTTATATAAATCAATTTAAATTTTATGAAAAATTATGGGTAAAAGCAGAAGAAAAATGGAAAGAAAAAAGAAAATTTCGACGAAATTCGCACGCGCGCGCGAAAAAAAACGAATAAAAATTCTCCATTTTGTTTTTTGTTAATTAACACAATGTACGCGACCGTTAAACGTCTGACGTAATCAAATCCCTCACCCCCTTCTATTAACGAATATAAAACGAATTCGCGAACACGAATTTGAAAATTTCCAACGGAATTTTAATTTTAACGGAAATTTTTGATTTTTAGTTCTTTTGAAATGAATGACGAATTTAAAAAAAAAAATTAATAACGAGAGGGGGGGGGGAAACTTAAAAGTTGGCAGGAATAAAAATGGCGGTTCTTTTTCTTTTTCTTTTTTTTTTTTTTAGAAAAAAACGAAAATTTTACGACTCATTGAAACAATTTATAAACATCAAAAGAATATATCCGACGACATTTTTTTTTTTTTTTTATTTCCTTTTATTTTAAATATTAATTATTTAGTTTCCATTTTAAACCGTTAATTAACTGTGACAAGGTATAATAATTATCTATTTTAAAACGTTGTTTAAAAAAAAATCTTTTTCGAATTATCCGCCATATTTTTTTTCTTTTCTCCCCCCCGTTTAATTTTACCAACCACGTGTACGAAAAAATAAAAATTAATGCGAAATAAATTTTTCTTTTTTTTTTTTTTTTACCTATTTTTATTAAATTTAAATTTGGAAAAATGTCGCCGGGTCAAACTGATAACAACAACAACAACAACAAAATTTTTTTTTTTAAATTTTGGCGTCAATAAAAAAGGCGCCAAATTTTTTTTTTGAAGTTTTTCTTGCACTTGACGCGTTTTTTGTTTAATTTTTGATAATAATTTTTTTTTTTTTTTATTACTAATTATTTATTTTTTATATAAAAATCAATAAATCAATAAAAGTTTGATGTCCTTAATGCGTAATAATAATAATAATAATAATGATGATGATGATTTTTCGTAAGGATTTCCGTTTGAAAAATCAATGAAAAGAAAAAATTTTTTTTTTTAGTTTTCTCAAAATTTTTTTCGTTTTGATTGGGGGGTAGGGGAGCAGGGGAGGGAGGAAATGAAGAAGCGGTTAAATAAAATGGGGACCGCCGAAGTGAGGTAGGGGAGGGGGGAGTGGGGAGAAAATAAAATAAAAAGAATTTTTTTATTTTTACGCGCCCACGATTTTCGTTCCTAATTTAACATAAGAAATATTAACGACAAAAATGAAACTGAGCGTAAAAGTGTTGGAGCGAACAAAAATTTATTGACTGTAACATATTTGACGTTTTTTTTTTTTTTTTCTATGTGTGTGTGATATGTCGTTCGTATGCATTTTTTTTAAAAAAAAAAAAAAAAAAGTCTTCTGCCACGTTAACGATTCGAACCCTTCACTTATTTTTTAAATTTTTTTCATATTTTATTAGTTTTGATAATAATTGGTACTCATTATTTAAAATCTTTTGATCTCTTTTTTCTAAGAAGAATTTCTTTCCCCCTCAAAAAAAAATCTTTTCCATCGACGAACCACCATTGAATACAAAAATAATAATAATAATTTAAAATAAAATTAATAAATAAAATATTAAATTACGTTAAACATAGCAAAATAAATAAATATTTGTATTCCTTTCGAACCTTTAATTAAATTAAACTATAGCAAAACGAAAATTTTTTTCAATTAATTCCAAATCGTTTATTATGTATATATTATATATATATATTTCTTCTGCTATATTTTCCCCTCCGAAAAAAAAAAACAGGATTATTGCTTTTACGTATCATTTGTTATATTTTATACACTTATTTTATTGCTTGGATAATAAAAACAAACCCGACAATAACAATTGTTATTATAATAATAATAATAATAATTACGTCGTGAATTTCTATTGAATATTTACCACCATTAAAAGGTTTGAAGGGGTGAAAAATAATTTTATAAATTTGTAAACTACAGAATTATTAAAAATATTCATTGGAGTATTTGTCGCGATTATGAAATGACAGGGAAGTAATGGTACAAATAGAACTTTAGCTGTCGAAAAATGGGGTAGTATCATGTGGGAAAAAGAGAGAGGTAGGCTCGAAGGTTCAGAAAAAAGGCTGGAATGGAAGAATATAGAGATCGAAATAAGGGAAGGATGTTAAAGGAGTAAAAGCAGAAATGATTCTGAGGGGGGAGGAACGTTGCTACAATCGTTAATAAAAAAACTATGCGAAGAAATTTGAAAGCAAAAGAAAAAACGGTGGAAAATTTCGAGAAAAATTGAAAATAATAATAATAAATAAGACTTTTGGTGATTTATCGGATACCAAATTTAGGATACCCAATTCTTACTTTAAAATCACAAAAAATTTATCTCATTTTAGTTTTCATTAAAAAAAACGAAAAGATTTTCTCTACGGATTTAGAAAACCACGTGACATTTAAAATTTTTCTGCATTTAATCATCATTAGAATGATCGTTGAAAACAAAGAAATGAGAAAATAAAATTTTATTTCCTTAAAAACGTGGAAAATTTTTAGAGATTTGATTATAACTTTTCCAACCAAGTTTCTAATTAAATTGATATGATCAACATTTGATTATGAAAATCTGAGATTAATTCACAGGAGAGCTTACAGTTCCTGCCTTTAAATTTTTATTATTATTTATAAATTTCTCTAATACGAAATTCAAAATAAGTTAATTGATGATAATAATAATAATAATAATAATAAAAAGAAAAATGGAAAATGGAAAAAAACCCGTGTATTAAAGTTAAACGGTCAATTAATCAAAAATCAAATTTTTTTTTTTTTTATTTACTAAGAATAGCAATTTAACCCTGGGTAGTCATTGTTTGTTTATACGTTAAATTAAGTATATATATATATATATATATATATATATATATAAATACATATCCCGGGAAGGAGGTAGAAGAGAGAGAGAGAGAGAAGGAGGGGGAGGGTTAAATCTTCTTCCCCCAATCGTCTAAACCCATTAGGGCGGGTACGTACAATGATTTTAAATGTCAAATTGATTTTTTATATTTTTATCTTATGTTTAACTTATGTGTAATTATATTTTTCTTATAATTTTTTTTGTTATTTTCATTTCGGGTTTATTCGAATAATAATTTTTATCCATTTTCCTTCCGATTTTCCGGGGGTTTTTTCTTTTTTTTTTGGGGGGGGGAGAAATAAAGGAATTATTATTATTATTTTTTAAATAAAAAAAAGAATATTCTAGAATTTCTAATGACTTTTATTGCAAAAAATTTTTTTTTTGGAGTTTTCGAAAATAACTAAGTTTTAAACAAGTTTAAGATGAATCGGGTACATGTAAAGTTGTAATTTTTTTTTTTTTGAATTGGTACCCGAAGAAAGGAGGTACAAACAATCGGTTTTAAAAAATAATAATAATAACTTAAACTTTTTTTAGAAAAAAATTACTTAATACGGTCCTGACAAAAGATTTTCCATATAGTTAAGTGTAATTCAAATGTTGATATATCCGTTTTTAACCCAAAACTTAAACGTTAACATTTTGAAAATAAGTTGAAAGCTTTTATAATTTAAAAAAGTGTTTTAAAAAAACCTTTTTAAAAAACTTTTACAAAAAATGGAAAATAAAAAGGACCAATTTTGTATAAAATTTATAAATGTTTTATCATTATTTTATATTTAATAAAAAAACTCCGCCTACTTTTGCAATTAACTGATATCATCGCTTATTACAAAATAATTTGTTAAGTCTATAAGTGAGATGTCGGATGTCTCTAGTCTGTGTAAAAAATTCTTAAGAATTTAATCATTAGTGTAAAAAAAATTTAAATTATTATTATTATTATTTGTTTGTCGTTGTCGTTGTGCGAGTGTTGTTTGTGTGAGAACAAGGAATGCGTCGAATATTATTTTAGTGTACCTTAAATAACTCGATAGTTCATTTGAAATGGAATTAACGAAAGAAAAAAAGGAAAACGAAGGGGTAGTAGACATGACGGTTACGTCGGATAAAATTCGATCGAAAAAAGTATTGAAACCATTTTCGATAGAATCGTTAATATCGTATAAATCGGATGATGAAAAAAATATTAACAAAAACAAACGTGACGGTTGTGGAAATGTCGTTGTGAAAAAAATAAGTGAAACTATGGTGTCGGGGAGTGATGTTAACAATTCGTACAAACCAGAAAAATATTCTTATGATGGTACAACAACAGGGGTGATGACGAAAGAATCCCAAATTTGCGAACGGGTACCGGGTACGTTAAATAAATTTCCATTGGAAAGAATGACCGGTCCAGATATGGGAGAAATTTATCACAACGGATTTAATTCTTCTTTTACCGGAAACGTCGGTGCGACGGGAAATGATTTGGATGGATATCGCACTTCCGCCGGATTACCCGTGAATTTCTTAGAAAAATTTCATAGAACGAATCAAAACCTAACCGATAATATTAGTTATAATTGGCCGTTTATATACAATACCTGGCTTCACAATACGGGACTTTTTTTTAATGCTAGTGTTAATAGTGCAATTATGATGAGACCCCAGGAATATCGGTCCTCATCGAATCATGGGCAAGTTGTTAGTCCAATTAGTCCTATCGGTGAAAATTCTGATGCGTCATTATCTCCCGGAGGAATCAATGACGAAACAAGAAATTCAGGTAATTCTTTTTTTCTTCTTCTTCTTCCTCTCATTCCACCACCACCACCACCAACAACAACAACAACAATCAAGGCTAAAAACGGAAACTTATTAAAATTTCCCGCGAAAACGTCACGGGATAAAAAATTTAAAATGAGAATTTTTATCAATGAATGAATGATGGCAAAAAAAATTTAAAAGGAAAGAAGATATTTATAAAAACTAATCGAATATTTTCAAATGAAAGGATTAAAACGCGCACGTACCCACATTTATAAATAAATAAATAAATAAATAAATTTTTGTAATTTAATAACCGCGGTTAATAATACAAACACCGAATTAAAAACGTCAAATTTTCATATTGCATGACCGTCGTTGACGTGATTTTTTTTTTTCTAATCAAAAATCGTGAATTTATGCATGAACGATTGCATCCAAAGGAAAAAAAAAAAGGACGAAAGCCAAAGGATATAATAACAGAAAGAAAAAAAAATTTCTCAACATACTTTAATAAATAAATGAAAAAAAAAAAAAAAAATTTTCTTTTTAATTAACGAATCGAATTTTTCCCCGCGGTGTGGAGAAGTTTAGAGAAAGAAAAAATTTTTAAATCCATTCACCGATTGATTGATTAATTCTTTATGACGTCACTACAAACAATGATTATTATATCTTGATTTTATATTAATTAATTACAAAAGTATAATTATCTTTTTTTATGCTTGCCAATCGGTTTTTTTTTTTTTTTCACGTAGTCGTCACGTCAATGATGATAAAATGTAAAAAAACTATTTCTAGTAATTTCGATAAATAATTATTATCAATATCATTATCAAATATGAGATTAAACAATTTTATTTTTATTATTATTATTATTATTATTTTTAAACAAAATCATTTGAAAATTATATTAAACGTGACTTTTGTAGTCTGCGACGGGGAAAATAAAAATTATTTTTTTACATTCATTCGTGTAAATAATAATAATAATAATAATAATTTTTATTATTATTATTATTAATAAATAAATTATTTATTATTGTATCGAATCGTTATTTTCAATTCGGAAAAAAAAAAAGTTTATTAACCTAAAACATTTTTTATAAAATTAAACAAAATTTGTTTTTTGTTTTTTTTGTTTTTTAGCTGAAAAATCAAAACAATTTAAAATTTCACATAAGGAAATTTTAAAATAAATTTCTCTATATTTATAGTTTTTATTTAAATAGATTAAATCAAACAAACAAACAAACAAACAAACAAGGAATAACACAAAATAGTAGTAACAGTAGGATAATAACGGCAAATAATAAAGAATTTGATTTTTAAATAAATAAACAAATAAAATATCGATAAAAGATAATAATAATAATAATACTTGTGATAATCATTACGAATCCCCGTCGCCGAAAGTTTTTTTTGTAAAAAAATTTTTTTTGCAAATTAGGGGCCCCCCATTTTTTTTTATGACGTGTAAATAAATAAAAAACGTTTAAATTATTTTTTGAACGATTTCTAAAACCACTTTAAAATCGAAATAAAGTCAAAAATTTTTTGTTTGAAAAAGTACCTATTCAGGTACCTGTTTGTACGAAAGGTTCTTTTAAACAAAGTTATAAAAAAAAAAATTTGGGTTTATTTAAACGACGGGAAGGAAGGGGGAAGGGGAGGAAAAAAGGGATGAGGGGAGGTAGGGAGAGTTTATTTACGTAAATCGTAACGTTTACTTTTTGATTTTTATTTATTTATTTATTTATTTTCAAAGATACAATGGATATTAAATGAAGGAAGAAGTGGAAGTCAACAACAACAACAACAAACGACAAACGACAAACAAACACAAAAAATAAAAATAAAAAATAAAATAAAAAGACAAGAAAAAAAGATGTGTCGAGTTGCTAAATGTTTTCTGTGGTTTTCTTTTTGTTCGATTTTAAGGGGAAATTTTTCTTTTGGACACGACAAGGGAGGGCTTAAGGCTAACCATGAAATTGTTCAAACTTTTTTTTTTTTTTCTACTCTCTCATCACGAAACATAAATTTTTTTTTTTTTTTTGTCTTCTGTTTTTAACGTACGAAATTTTTTTCTTCCTTTTTCTTTCCTTTTCTTACTCTTATCGTCGTTTTTGACCTTTTTTAAAGGAAAATTAAAAGGTTTTTACGGTTATTTCAACTCTCATTAGTAACTAACGATTTATTTGAACGGCCATTGTCATCATTTTTTACCTTATCACACTAATTTTTTACAAATTGACGATATAATAAATGGGAAATTGTGTGTGTTAATGATGGGAAATTTGATGTGTGGGTGGGTGGAAACATTTTCCCGGATTTACACGTACAAATTTATTTTAAAAAAATCAAAAAAAAACAACCAACGAACAAAACGCTTTTAAAAAAAATTGTCTCTCTCTCACTCCCCACATGCCGTCGGTTTATTTATTTATTTATTTATAAAAACAATAATCGAATCCTTTATTGATTTTATCGATTGAATCTTTAATAATAAATAAAACTTTTTTTTAAACAAACGCATGCAAGTAGGCGGCAAACCTACTATAAGACGAAAAAAAAAAAAAAAAAACAAAGATTCCGATTGTATAAAAGAAAAAAAACGTTAAAAACAATCACGATTGTATGAGTCTTTGTAATTTAGTTAACGTTGTGTCATATTAATAATAAAAAGTAACCATTTCCGGTTTGGACAAACAACCTGGAGACCGCTGTGTATTTTGTTTTTTTTTTTTTTTTTACGAGACTCTCCGAAATATTCTTTTTAATATTTAAAAACTATTTTTTATTATTACACGCGTCATGAATTATTCATTCTTTTAAATCAAATTTTTATTAATAATAATAATAATAATAATAATAATAATAATAATGATGATGATGATTAAATGCCGTCGTTGTTGTTGGTTTTTTTTTTAACTGACGGTAGAAATAAATAAATGGAAAAAAAATTTTTATTTTTTAATTATTTGTAGATTTTTTTTTTTTTTTTAAATTTTGCCAAGAAAAATGTTTGATTTAAAAACAAAATGGCGGATTTTTTTTTTCTAAATCGAATTTAATTTTTCGATAGGAAATACGTAATTAATATTTAATAAATACATTTTGTAGTCATTAAATAAGAAAAAATCGTGACTTTAATTACAATTAGTGGTGTGTGGTAGCAAATAAATTTTATTATTACTTTTTTTTTTACGATCGTTGTGGTTTATGGAATCCTTAAACAAATTTTATTATTATTATTATTATTATTATTATTCATTACGTAATTGTAATAATTTTTTATTTTTTTTTAGTTTGTGGTAGTCCGGAAGTAGCATCACAAGATGGTAGCAGTCATTTAGATTCATATGAAAATGAAGAAGCTGACAGTTCAAATAATTCTGATATGGATCATTTGGATCTTAAGTAAGTTATTATTATTATTATTATCATCACCACCTTATTAACTTTTATATAATCTTATTAATCTTTTAAAGTAATAATTCTATTATTATCATCATCATCATCATCACTAATAATTTTTCCAGTAAATTCTTCTTATCGAACAAGAGTTTTAAATTATTATCATCATTTTAAATTCGATGATAATCGAATGATTATTTCGTGGGGGGAGGGAGGGGAGGGGAGGGAAGAGGGGGGAT